TTACATCGGATACACGATCTGTCCAAGTTTCTACAGCGCCTCGGGGTTTGACGCCTTAAAGACATACAGCTTTACAAATAAATGCCGAAAGTTAAACTTAGGAATAAACTGAGTATAAGCAAAAATTGTCACAAACACGCACTGCTAGTAAGTAAGATGTAACTATAACTAACGAGGATTTCAACTACTGATTTCGCTAGCATGTCAACCCAAAGTCTTGGTCTCCGACGGTCGTCCGACGGTCTTGATCACCAACGTCTCCTTACCTGATCAGTCTTCTGCCAATCACCAGTGGTAACTAGGCCGCTACAAGTTAAACTTGGTAAAAATCAAAATCAAACAATGGAATATAATGAGCATGAAAAGGGATATAACTTTTTATGCAAGTATACAATTTATTAAAGCTTTTTGTACTCGATCGTGTTAAAGTAAATTCACGACCAATATCTAAGTAATAAGCAAAACGTGACTTAGTTCTGTTTAATAATAGCCACCATGTCTAGATGACAAAGCATTTCTAAATCGAGGCTCAGTTGTCAATGGACTTAGTTTCTTTTCTTTAATTCCATTTCAAATCTATTTCTTATTAGAGTATATATTAGTTTAAATTTTCAATTACATTTTCATTCACGAGCCTATCTAGTCTACATTTGATACACTTGATCGTTTTAATTCGAATCTCAAAGGGTCTGGTTTGCTTCAGAATTGATTTCATGGCCTTTCTTTTGATGGTAACGGAATCTCGACTTTCATTTTTAAGTTGCAATGTTTTAAGCGGCCCTCACTAGATTACCTGTCAATTTGATCTTCGCTCACGATGAGTTACAGCAGTTCTCTGCCCTCACTTTCTAACGCTGATCTTTTCATCTAATAGTACTCATTATATTTTCCTTGTCGACAATACATTCAATTTGTAACTATAATAAGATTAACAACATTGAATAAGAAGTTTTGATATCTTTAGAGAGTAATTACGTCATTAAGGGCCTGTCCCACCACTGATAAAAGTTTAGATAGCTTAAATCATTTTTAAGCTATCTAAACGTCGTCACTGTTAGATGAGGTAATAAAATCCGATATTCCATCACATGTTTTACACGTTGGATTGTTATCAGAAAATTTACAATTTGGTGGGACAGGCCCAGAAATGGTTACTTTGTCATATTTGGGGCATTATGTTAAATTCTTATACTGTTTAAATTAGTCATCGTTTAATATTTTAAAAAACTACGTTGGCTTTTAAACAAGTTTTTACAGTGGCCACTGAAGCGTTGTTTATTAGATTAGCTTTCTGAAAAAATACAACTTTGTAATAATATTTTTCTTTCATTGGCTTTTTTAACCTTGAAAGAAATTTATCGTCGTCTAAAGACTTTGATGTACTGGGTTTCAAATAAGATAAAGATTTCATCTATACTAATACTATAAAGAGGAAAGATTTGTATATATTGAAATAACTAAAAAACTACTGGACCGATTTAAATAAAATCTTTCACCAATAAACAGCTACGTTATAACTGACTAACATAGGATATGTTTTTTAATAGCGCAAACAAAGTCGCGGCCAACAGCTATTACCAGATAAAGGTCAGCCATTTCACTAGGTACAACTCTGTTCTGCGTCAGAAAGTTTTGTCCCCGTAATAGTTTCCCTATGAACTCTTAGTTTAACTTCATATTAAATTATACTGTCAATAGTTTATTAGAACAATGTTAATTGTAAGTTTCCACGTGAAGTGGTACAGGTGAGCGCCGCACGCGCACGATCAGTCCCGCCATGGCGGTTTGGTGCGGCGCGCGCGTGCGTCCGCTAGATAGACGTGTCTACTCCATTACTCTAGTGGTGCGTTGTTATATCATTGGTTGTTTATCTAAATAAATTAAATAATGTAAACATACTATAATAATCAGCTTATTTCAAATAAGAGATAGTTCTTTTTTAAAAGATTAGATTAAGTTTTTAATAGTTCAAGGGAATTCGATAGTTTGTGTTGTGTTTTACCAATTTTAGTGATAAAATGCATATTATAGTGAAGATTGGAAAAAGGAAATCGAAAGTGATTAAGGAATTACTTTGTAATTTTTTATAAATATAAGTGCAAACAATATGTTTATATTTGCGATATTCTTATCTTCTTTCGAAGATTTTATTTTACTAAATTTATGAAAACCATTAAACCGATTTCCCCATTTTACTTGGTCAATAAGATGTATATCTGATATCTATAATACTCATAAAAGACACAACGTTCAGGTCAATAATTCCTGAAAGTCGATTACAATTCGTATTAAAATAACATACGGAAAAAATCCTGTGTTGCCAACTCTACAGATTTATTGTATCTAATTACACGAAATGATTCCAATCCGAACATAAATGTAAGTACGTGATTCATTATATTTGCGAATTAGTGAACCGTGAGACAGCTTGTTTTTGCAGATTTTTTTATTTCAAAGTAAAGCTTAATTTATTGAAGCGTAACTTAAAAAAAATTGATTAACGCGTGTTTTGAAGCTATTAGTTTTGTTGCGTTTACACATTACGAGATAGTAAAAAGACGCTATATTTATAGAATAAGCGATAAAGTAGGCTGTATTATTGCGAAGTTATGAGTTTTGTAAATGAAGATAATTGCGAAGACGTATTTAAATTACTATTTGTTTGAAACGCAAGTTTTAAAGACAACATTTTAAACATTTATAGAATTAACTAGTTTTCGCCCGCGACTCCGTCCGCGTGAATTTAATAAAAAACGAAAGTGAGTAGTCTATGTGTTCTTCCAGACTATCCTCTACATCTACACCATATTTCATCAAAATCCGTTCAGCCGTTTAGGCTACAAACTCTAACAAACATCCATCCATCCATGCATCTAAACTTTCACATTTAAAAATTATTATTAAACTATTAAGTATGATTACTATGCATCTAACATTTTTAATTTCAAGACATTTTCATGTTTAGTTCATAGATTAAAAAAACCTACTCGTAATTATGATTGATGTCTGGAAATGGCATTTAATCATTTTTGTTTAGGTCCTTTTGATGCAGTATTTTTCAGTAAAGCAACAGTATTATTGGTTTATTTCAATGTTATCAAATCTCAGTGATCAAGTAAAGTATGTCGATACAAATTAAACCTCCCGACGTTGCCTACATACCTCAATGAACGATTGGTTCCAACAAATTGTCGGATAGTGACAGAGTTATCTTTGTACAATCGATTGGCTGAGCCTCGTACCAACTAACTGTTTATCTTCAATCTATTATTTCTGCTTTCTATGAAATCTATACGACTGTCATTTTTTTTTAATTCTGTTGTCTTGAGGAATCCTAGTCCTGTATTACAATTCAAATAGCAATCGATATAAATTGTATACGTAATTAAAACTCTCCGTACCTCCGTTCTTTTGGTTAATATTGTTTTTGGGATATATTAAATCGATACTATGAGATATAAATGAATTAATAATTAAAATAGCTAGTCTTAACGAAGGAATATTAGTAAGCATCGAGTATAATCCATTGCACTGACCTTGTGCTGTCATTTAGAGGAAGGGGACGCCGGGTCACGTTGGACCTCAGGTGTGCATCCTGCATTATCCAGTTCCGCTTTGTACGTACATAATGGAACTTTAGCCCGCGACTCTGTCCCCGTGGAATTAAAAAACAAAAGCGATTAGCCTATGTGTTCTTCCTGACTGTCCTCTACATTTATGCCTAATTTCATCAAAATCCTTTCAGCAGTTTTGGCTACAAACTCTAACATCTAAATTTTATGATTTACAATATTAGTAAACTTCTTTAATATATTTATTACTTACTTTCGTAAGATGTTTTCAATTAAGTTGATGAATTTATCTAATTGAAAATATAAGTTATAATTCTGGTATACTATATACCAGAATTGTACAACGTAAATAAATAAGCTAGTTACTGCAAATATTTTACTGAATGAAAATAAATCTTTTTAAAACTTTTAACAGTATTAGTTTTTGCAAGAAAAATCTATTTCTCTGCAATACAAGATATTCGCTTAAGAGATTGTATTTAATACCGTAGCCTAGTTTCAGAGCTGTTATGCTCAAAGTTATTCGGTTTTATCTTTTTTTACAACTTAACTCGTTTAAAGTATAAGTTTTTAATTTCCTTTCAAAAATTTGCTTCTGACCTAATTCTTTGAAAAAGTTAAAATATACTATAGGGCTGCTTTATTGCGATATCTTTCGATATTTCTCTTGAATATTCTTGTTTGATACGAATGGTTTAGGATGACAAATTGTCACAAGTAGGGGGCGTTGCCAAGATCCAGGAGTAACTTAAGAGCCCACCTATGATTGAACTATCGCACAACTGTTGTGCGATTGTCGATTGTTTTTCAGCCAACTATATAATTGCACAACTAACAATCGAGTAGTAATAGGAATCACAGTGACACTAAATAGTTGTGCGATAGTTTAGTCAAATGACAAATTAGCGTTTTATTTGCTACTCGAACGCGTTTTCATTACTTTTAAATCATGATATAGGTGGACTTTTATTTATAACGTTTTAAAAAGGACGCGTACAAAGGATTTATTTTTTAATATGTTTAATGCTTATTACTATAAAGTGGTAGCAATACTTTGTAACTTAACTAAAGAGTTCCTAAGTGACGTCGTTAGCGACGTTAGATGAGGATATTTCAGAGAGTTTCATGAATATTTTAACTTTGTTGAGAACTTGCAACTTTGATTTAAAAGATTGTTGTAAGCGTTTTATAATTTAAAAAATGTAACCCACTTTTTACTTCGTAGAATGATTTAAGTTATAAGCTCTTAATAAAATAATTAGTATAAGTAAAGTGTAAGGAAACGTTCTCTTAATAATAAAAAAAAAAATCCATGGGTATGTGTTCGATACTGTTTATACAATTTGAATACGTGTCATACTTTTATAACGGTTAGTTAAGCATCGACTTATGTTTTCGTTAACTCATAGTTTTGCATATAATTTTCAGATCGAACCGAACACAGCATTCCTCCGTGCGGCGCGCGCCGGTCAGCTCGACACGGTGCTCGATCTTCTGGACACCGGCGCCGTCAAGGATATCAATACCTGCAACTCGGTTTGTAAAACATGTGTATTTTTACTAGGATAGAAAAATAATGTCCTATTTCTGTATATCACTACTCTGGCAGTAAAATGCTCTGTAATTTACTAACGTTTATGGAAGCGGTTATTTCGGTTTTTCTCAAGTGAAACTAGAATAACTATATGTTACCTTTTAATGCAAGGATCTAAAAGAGATAAAGGTGTAAAAAATCGTTCATATTTGTTTGTATCCCCAATATTTAATGTAGTAACATTTTGTATTTACTAAAGTTTATGGTAACACTGTGTGTATTTCTTTTCCGTTTCCTGTGCAAAAATTGAATATATTTTTTTTTCTTAATTAAAAACCCAGCAGCCTACTGTATTCTAAATAGTAATCGAAAATTTCTACATAAAATATAAAACAGTTAACTTTATAGTATGCTTATCATAGTTTGTATGTAATTCTGTTCATCTACCGTACATCAGCTACAATTCACAGGGCAGATTGTCATTACGATAAGCGCAGACAAATTGCAACTGTTCTATGCAGTTCTTTCCTGTCGCATTACATTCAACAGTTATTTGTTGTGCACTGGAAAATGGTTCCAAATTATAGTGCGTTAAGGTTTATTCTCGAAGCATACATCCGTGGGAACCGCATGATAATTAGAGTAGAACTGTGTTTATCTTTCGATCGGTTTTATATGCTAATGTTTTAACACCATCAGTATAAATTTGAAAAAAGAGAATGAAATCTCTAATAGAGAAGATTTAACTTACGCTTTAACACTGAATAAATAAAATTATAGATAACTGGCTGTTCGCAACTTCGTCTGCGTGAAATTAAAAAATATTTTAAATATAGCCTATATTACTCATTGATACTTCACTACTAGCTCGTTTTTGTAAAAACATTCCTTTTATTGTGACCAGACTGAGTTGTTACAAAAAATCCTATGTCGTATACAAAAAGAAATAAGAAATATATAGACTAGACATATGGAACAACATTTTACCGGTAACTTCTATGTACGGTAATATCTTAATGTCAAATTGGATACACCGAGATGCTTATGTGTTTGAATTTGTTTGTGATTTTGACTATCGGATATCAGGTAGCGTTGGTGATTTTAATTGAAGTGCCAACTATGCCTACTCTAAATGTTTTTTGAATCTCTGGTCGTATCACAAATGTAGTCGGCCTTCAATCTAGCTGATACGTTCCGCACTGGCTGTCGCCCGTCGTGCCTCGCGATTCCAGATCCTTTTACAACCACGGCGTTGCGTAACTGATTATTGATTACAATCAAAATAGAAATAATTATAGTCCGTAGCATAAGATAGAATATAGTGGAAGAGTTGATGGATATAAAAGGTAGGTCTGCGGCTGTGCCTATCGCCCTGAGAGCAATCGCCATACTAGAGGAGGGAGTTACTAGGAGAGGGAGGAAATAAGGAGTAAAAGGTTAGAGTGGTATGGGTATGTTATGAAAAGGGATGAATCGCATGTAACAAGACGGACGTTAGTTATGAATGCGAAGGGGTACACCGGTAGAGGTAGACCTAGAAAGAGATGTATGGATTGCGTGAAAGGTGACATGACCAAGAAGGGAGTGATGACTGAGATGACAGATGATTGAGTGCTTTGGAGGGCGAAAACCCGTTGCGCCGACCCTACGGGAGTAAAATAAAGCAGGGGAGATGATGACTAGAGGAGGGAGTTAACTGTTATGTGAGAATAACTCGCTGTCGGGTGAACCGATATAGCATTGTAACTTAACGCCAGTATTGGTTTGTGGCCATAAAAAATACTGATAGAAAGCAATAATACAATTACGTTTTCATTGTCTAATAGTTATTAAGACTGCATCTTGCCTCTTCGATGTCATTATAATGAGTTTAACTGTGCATTCTGATTTGACGAATTTTTATGTTTTCGAATATTTTAATTTCCCCCGTGATATGTAACAGGAGTCTTTTCCCTATGCGGGCAAGTGATGTGCGAATTTAATTTTAACGAGTATTGCATATCTTATCAACATTACTCTCAATTCATTCGCGTGTAAAATGCTGACATATTTAAATGTATGTTTTAATTAAGATGAAAATGTTTTAATTAATTTAATATGTTTTACGTCGTACTTGATTTAAACATGTTTTTAATATGCGTCCATCTCTGTTTTATGTAACGTCATTTGAGCAGACGAAATCGCGGTTGTTAGGTAGTTTTAGCATAAGAAATAACATAATTCATTATACGTACGGAGAAACGTAGAAATTATGCGTCATCAATATGCGTGTAAAGTTTCACGGGTTTTTAATTAAGTTGAGATTATCTTATCGCTTATTATTGAGCTTATCGCGATATGGAAATAATTTAGAATCTTGTGTAATCTAAATTCCCATTGTTTAAGTTATCCTACTAAAGATTCATTTAAAAAGTTAAATTTAATCATCCTTTAATAATTCTAAGATAATTATGTTGTTTAGAATCGTCTTTTCTCATTCAATTTTTATATATGAAATTTTAATCAAACGCAACTTCGAAGTAAAATTTTATGTACCCTCACTCAAAGTTTATTTTGGCGGTAGTTGGAAAATGGAATTACCAACAAATGCGGTCGTGTCGCTCCGAGGCGCTGCTAAACTAGTTTACAAACTAAGATTTAATATATCGCGTTAAATCCCTTGTTAACCTTTATTAGAAGTTATTTACAGTGTTATTGTGTTTGGAAAATCAAATTTTGTAACGTTAGGAATCATTTTTTGGATAGAGTATGGGTGTGGATAAAGATCGAACTGAAGTATCGATCATTCCGGCTTATATGTTTTACTTATTACTTTAAAACATCAAGGGCCTGTCCCACCAAATCGTAAATTGTCTAATAACAATCCAACTTGTAAAATATGTGATGGAAATATCGGATCTTGTTACCTTATTTGACAGTGACGTCATTTTTAAGCTATCTGAGCCTCTATCAGCCCGTGGTGGAACAGGCCCTAAGGATTGCAGTAATAAGTGTTATACTATTTGAATTCCATGTAAACTATCAGTAAGGTACTGTAACTATCTGATAAATCTTTTTTTGTGTTTCAGAATGGACTCAACGCATTACATCTAGCAGCTAAAGATGGTCACATCTCAGTTGTAGAAGAACTCCTAAAGCGAGGAGCGACAGTAGATGCTGCCACAAAGAAAGGTTTGTTTTGATTGTACATTTATTGTTTTTGATATCCTAAAGAGAGTCCCAAGCAGTAAGTTGTGCGCTGAGGATACTTTATGTTTATTGTATTTAGTTATACAATTATTATTGTATTGATGTAGAGATGGATGGATTGCGTGAAAGGTGACATGATCAAAAAGGGAGTGATGACTGAGATGACGGATAATAGAGTTATGTGGAGGACAAAAACCTGTTGCGCTGACCCTACTGGAATAAGAGAAGGAGGAAGATGATGTAATTATTATGTACTAGTTGCTTTCGCCTCTTCTCCGTCCGCGTGGTATTAAAAAAAAAAACAAAAGTTAGTAGCCTATGTGTTTTCCAGACTGTCCTCGACATTTGTACCAAATTTCATCGAAATCCGTTCAGCCGTTTATGCTACAAACTCTAACAGACATCCATCCATCTAAAGTTTCGCATTTATATTATTAGTATGAATCATGAACCGCAGCCTTTATATAAAATCTAAGCCATTTGATGTAGATATTCTATGTTAATCCGTTTGTTATTGTTTTCAGGTAACACAGCGCTACACATAGCATGTCTTGCCGGACAAGAGGATGTGGCACGCGCGCTGCTCGGCGCGGGAGCACGTGCGGACGCGCAATCCGCGGCGGGGTTCACTCCCCTGTATATGGCGGCGCAGGAGAACCATGCCGGTTGCGTCAAGATGCTGCTTGCAGCTGGAGCCAGCCAGACACTCGCCACAGAGGTATAACTAGTAAAAATAGTCTTCTTCCAGTTTAAGATGTTAATCATGCGTGCTCTGACCATGGTATATCTCCAAATAACATAAGGAGGGTATAACAATTGTAGGAACAGTGGCAATATTACGAGTCCTGGCCCTTGAAAACTGTTTTGTTTTTAATATAAGGTGGCAAATGAGCAAGCGGCACTTGAACCCGCCAAAATGGCGAAACGACCGCTGCCCATAGACATCTGCAATTGCATCCGCAATACGCGTTGCCTAACCTTATTCGACGACACACATAAAGAGGATGTTTCCCTTTCCTATGTGTCCTCTTCACCGTCAAATCTACTTTCCCTATCCAACCATGCCTATGAACTATGTGATCAATAAGGTTTACCCTTGTAAAGTCAGATAATAGAGAAATATAAAATATTTCCTTTGGCGCTATCTCACAGAAAATATTAAGAACGACTGACGTAGTTATGTTACATTGTAAATTTCAGGATGGGTTCACGCCGCTAGCGGTGGCGATGCAGCAAGGCCACGACCGCGTTGTAGCTGAACTGCTAGAGTCCGACACGCGCGGCAAGGTGCGCCTGCCCGCGCTGCACATCGCCGCTAAGAAGAATGATGTCAAAGCCGCCATGCTATTGCTGGAGGTAACTATATTTTTATTATCATCAACCATCTGAAATGAGGGCTCGGAACTAATTTTAAGTCAGGGGACTAGGCAATAGTGAACCACGTTGGCTCAATGCTGGTTAACGTCACACATATCCTTGAATTTCTTTGACAAATTGTTAGTAATTTACACTTGGTAGTCATCTGTTTCCACACTGGACTTGTAATCTACATGTCCTGGATTCAAATCCCGTCATGTACTCATATGATTTTCACATATCGGCGAAAAAATTCAAAGATATGTGTTAAATCAACCAACCTGCACTGGGCCAGCATGGTTGACTAAGGTCTAGGGACCCCTAACTCAGGGTAGGCTCCAAACCCCTCAGTAGGGATGTTAAGTGAGCTGGTGATAAGTCTTCAGCTCATATAGTTAAAGAATACTTTGATGAAAGATAAAGAATGTGACAACGTTAAAATAAACACGTTACAAATGTTAGAACGAGCACAATCCGGACGCGTGCTCTAAGTCCGGCTTCACACCGCTGCACATCGCGGCGCACTACGGCAACGTGGGCGTGGCCAAGGCGCTGCTGGCTGCGGGCGCGGACTCGGCGCGCGCCGCCAAACACAACATCACACCTCTACATGTCGCCAGCAAATGGGGACAACTCGCTATGGTCGACTTATTAGTTGAAAATGGTAAGGGGACTTATACTAATCTTAGTCCCTTCTTTATCCTACTCCCGTAGCCCTACATCTGTCATCTCATGTCACCTTTTACGCAATCCATTTCTTTCTACGTCTACCTCTACCGATGTCCACATTTTTAACTAACGTCCTTGTAATATGCGATTCAACCATCCTTGTAACATGCCCATACAATGTTAAACTTTTACTTAAATTAAGCTTTCTTACAACTTATTCTCTACATGTGATATGCAGAAAAATGTTTTCAAAGGATTTATTAAATCAACACAATTTCTATTCCTTGCACATTTTGTACATACAGTTCTTGATAATAAATAAAATGTAGATGATAAGTTTTCGGCTTTGACTTCGTCCGGGTAGAATAAAAAAAATAAAAGTAGTCTATGTGTTCTTCTAGACTCTACATCTATGCCAAATTTCATCGAGATCCGTTCAGCAGTTTATGCTACAAAGTAACAAACATCCATCTTAACTTTCACATTTATAATATTAGTAAGATTTTCTTATTAACTTAGTAATCTTCAAGCTATCCTGAATCAATTTGTCCATACAATAATAGTTGTATTATTTGTGTCAGGTGCCAACATCGCGTCAGTAACTAGGGATGGCCTAACGCCGCTGCACTGCGCCGCGCGCTCCGGGCACAGTAACGTGGTGTCGCGGCTGCTGCAGCACGGCGCGCCCATCACTAGCAAAACCAAGGTTAATACTGCAATATACAAATCATTCATCATTTCCTTTCTCGAATACCATTTTTTCAAATTTCCTTACTTTAACAACACTTTTTTAATATTTGTTTTTCCAGAATGGTCTAACGCCTCTCCACATGTCCGTGCAAGGCGAACACGTGGAGACGGCGCGCGCGTTGCTGGCGGAGGGCGCGCCCATCGATGACGTCACCGTCGACTACCTCACCGCGCTGCACGTCGCTGCACATTGCGGACACGTTAAGGTAACCACTGACCTCTAAAAATGGACGGATTTATTAAGAGGAACATTTTGTGGCAATCTCCTGCTTTAAAAATGCCAAAACTAAGAAAAAATTAATAAACTTTATTTTTTTTATAACATAAGGTGGCAAACGAGCAAGCGGCCACCTGAAATCGCCAAAAAGGCGAAGCGACCGCTGCCCATAGACATCCGCAATTGCAGATGCGTTGCCTACCCTTATCCGACGGAGGAGGAGACGCACATAAAGCGGATATTTCCCCTTCCTATGCATCTCCTCCACCGTCAAATCCACTTCCTCTTCCCAACCTCTCTTTATAAGAAAAGGGTGGTAAAGGGAAAGGGACTTAAATTAGGCCTCCGGCACCACACTCACATCAGACGAAACACGGAATTGCTTCCACTTCACGCCTGTCTTCTGTGTGGTCGTGGTATTACTGGGGGCGTGCCGGCCCATTCGTGCTAAGATGTTAAAGCGGGCACTACCACTGTTAAATGTTAAACTAGCTTTTGCCCGCGACTTCGTCCGCGTGGAATTAAAAAAAGTTTATGTGTTCTTCCAGACTATCCTCTAAATCTACGACAAATTTCATCGAAATCCGTTCAGCCGTTTAGGCTACAAACTCTAACAAACATCCATCCATTCATCTAAAGTAAATGATGTATATAATTTGAAAGAAAAAAAATTTGAAGAAATGACAGAGAATATCCTTTTTAGCCTTTTAAAACCTGTAAATATTTTTATCCTACCTCGAATTGGACTCTATAGTCTTGCTTTTTCAAACTATGGTATTTTATCACAGCATTTTCTGTATATTTGCAGGTCGCCAAGCTATTACTAGATAGAAACGCAGATGCAAACGCACGAGCACTGAACGGCTTCACTCCGCTGCACATCGCCTGCAAGAAGAATAGACTCAAAGTTGTTGAATTATTACTCAAGTATGGTGCAAGTAAGTTGTTTTGTATATATTGTATTTTTGTAGATAATGATATGAACAAACGAAAATAGATGAGCTAGTTTCAGACCACTCTGTTCCCGTGGAATTAATAAAATAACTTAAATATGTCGCTTATATGTTCTTCTAGATTATTCTCTACATTTATGCCAAATTTCGTTGAGATTCGTTTAGCCGTTTATGCTACATACTCCCAAACATCCATTTAAACTTTCGCATTTATAATGTTAGTAAGATAAGTAATAAATCTTTTTTTAAATATCGTCTATCAGGTCTTATTCTGTTTATATGGGGTCGGTGCATGATTTTATAAACCTTCCTTCACAATTGATTTTAATCTTATTAATCCTACTAATATTATAAATGCGAAAGTTTAGATGGATGGATGTTTATTAGTTTTATTTTTTCTAATTCCACGCAGACGGTGTCGCGGGCAAAAGCTAATCTTTACTTCTGTACTAATATTATAAAGAGGAATGATAAAAATTTTTGTTTTTGTGTAACTCAAAAACTACTGGTCCGATTTCAAAAATTCTGACACGTAACATAGGTTACATCATCATCAACTTGCCCTTATCCCTTATGGAGGGTCGGCATAGTATGTAGTGCTCTTCTATACATCTCTATCAGTCGTCATATCTGAATCCACTCCTTTCTTAAGCATATCCTCTTTCACACAATCCATCCATACTTTCTTCGGTCTTCCTCTTCCTTTGTAGCCATCCACATTCATTCTTAACACTTTCACGTAACATAGGTTACATTTTTTACTATTTCTAAGCTACCTAATTAAAAATACCTTTTTTTCTGTAATTCCGTAGGCAAATCGAGTACGACGGAGTCAGGTCTGACGGCGCTGCACGTGGCCGCGTTCATGGGCTGCATGAACATCGCGCTGGTGCTGGTGGGCGCGGGCGCGGACGCGGACGCCGCCACCGCGCGCGGGGAGACGCCGCTGCACCTCGCCGCGCGCGCGCACCAAACAGACCTCGTCAGGGTGCTGCTCAGGAATAACGCCAAGGTATCTCACCTCCCTCACCTCGGCCAAATAAATCTGTCGTCTCAGTGGATTCCCAACCGTCACCCCACTCTGTCCCCACGTGGGGACATACGAGAAAAAAAATATTTTATTTGATAACGGTTTCTTTTATCACCTTATTGGTGATAGTGGGATTAAAAGGTGGAACGGATGAAACTTTATATTTTCACGTGGGGACAACGGGGTGACGGTTGGTAATTATCCATCCGTAATCACTCTCCTCTTGATCATGTTACACAAGCAAGCGGCCACTTGAATTCACCGAAATGGAAAGGGAATGCTGACCATGGACATCCACAATTGCAGTTGCATTGCCGTGTTAATCGACGGAGGAAATGCACATAAAGAGTTACCATTAATATGAGACTCCTTCACCGTTAAAGCCACTTTCCCTTCCCATAATTTCCTTATAAGAAAAGGGAGTTAATAAATAGGGACAAAAATTAGGCCGGATGGACAGATACGCTTAAAAACTAGGTACTTTTAAGAACATTAATATTGTAAAAACGTAATTAACTAAACACTCTGGTCACTGCCTCCCGCCAGTTATTCAGATATGTCTGAATGACATTGACAGCTGTCAATGATGTTCTAGTGTTGCCCCATTTTGTTCTTAACGGTACCTATGAAATGAATTGTGAATGTGAAACATGATGTCATACAAAACTAGACGTAGTTTATAAGATTGAGTTGATTTTAATGTTTCTTTTGTGTTGTGAGGTGGAGGCGCGTGCGCGCGAGGAGCAGACGCCGCTGCACGTGGCGGCGCGGCTGGGGCACGCGGACATCGCGGCGCTGCTGCTGCAGCACGGCGCCGACGTCGCCGCCACCACCAAGGACCACTACACGCCGCTGCACATCGCCGCCAAGGAAGGTACACATTATTTTACATGCAATGTCTACACTTAGAGAAAAAAAGACACACAAGTCATTTACTAATTCGTGAAATCTCGTTAGAGGAGGGACCTTTTAAGAGCTTGTAAAGTTTGAATACTATGAGAAGTACACATAGTGTTGCAGTTTGCTTTATCATGTTAATAACTAGCTAATAATTAAAATTATGATATGTTTATTACCTAATTGACAAAGAGGGTAATGTATGGACTACAGCCTAAATGACTATATAAATTTTGTTCATCTTCGGAGTGTCATATATTACATCAGCACAAAATACCTAAAATATGTAAGAAATAGCTTTCGCCCGCGACTCCAGCCGCGTGGTAGTAAAAGGAACAAAAGTGAGTAGGCTATGTGTTCTTCCAGACTATTCTCTACGTGTATGCCAAATTTCATCGAGATCAGTTCAGCCGTTAAGGCTATAAACTCTAACAAACATCCATCCATCCATCCATCCATCTAATCTTTTGCATTTATAATATTAGTATGATTGAAATTCTAAAAAAAACGAGTTACAGTCTCCTAACTATATTGATATTCTCATTTCAAATCTCTTTAGATGTTTTTGGGTTTGGTTAGGTATTTTTGTTTGTACAATTTGTTACAAATCTATGACATGTGTTTCTCATATAGGTAAAGAAGAAGTGGCATCTATCCTGTTGGAGCACAACGCGCCCATCGAGGCGGAGACCCGCAAGGGGTTCACGCCGCTGCACCTGGCGGCCAAGTACGGCGACATGGGCGTGGCGCGCCTGCTGCTGGCGCGCGGCGCGCAGCCCGGCGCCCCCGGCCGCAGCCACATCACGCCGCTGCACATGGCCACATACTACGGACATCCCGACATCGCGTTACTGCTTCTCGATAAAGGTACTTCATTTGTACGCCAACAGCCCACATCTTACGGTCGAGGGTTCGAATCCCGCCATTCGACTGTTGTCGTGAACCATATCCTAACATAAGTATAGCGTATTTGGAATGGTTAAGGCAAAAATTTGTAAGTTAACAAAAATCTACCAATAATAAAAAAAAATCTTAGTTTTTGAATATTTGAATATTACAACACTTTCGCTAGAGGCAAAACCAAAATCAACCCTCAATCGTCGCTAAAGGTGCTTTTTACCAGGCCCTTTAGTAGTTTTCGTATTAGCGTTTTTAGTGAATTTGTACCAATTCGATTTTTGATCAAATTGTTGAAATATAAGCATAACTCGATAGTACCAGGAGGCCATAGCTGATATATACTGATAATATGGCAACACTGTTACTGTCTCTTACTTTTCCGCTAATGACTGTAATAAAACGTACACGCATTCTATCTTGTTTGTACATATCTATACTATTATAATAAACCGTAAACACGCACTTCTTTGTTGCCTAAAATATCAGCAATTACAGCATACTTTGAATAATTCTTTTCTTTATAAAAAGCCCTACACTTACGTCATGCTTTAGGCTATATATTTTAACGCCGTTTAACTTAGGGGTAAATATTTTGGATAAAAACCCTAATATGGAAAAGAGACCATAAGTTGTTGCCAACATCAAGGAAGCAAGATTGCCAAGTTTTGCCATGTCATGTCATTTTGACATTTGCAATTGACAATTTGAAACATGTAGGCAATAAAATAATTTTATGCTGATGAAATCGCACGGGAAAAGCTAGTCTATAATAAACCGATTGATTACCAATTCAAACCGATTTGTTTAACCAACAACACTAATTAAGAAATCTATATTCTGGTCCTTCGAGCTGGATGTGAAAACAATCATAATTTAAAACTGAAAGCTTAAGTACTATTTTGTCTCTCTCACTCTTTGGTTTTTACTTATAGGTGCATCTCCTCACTCTTTGGCTAAGAATGGCCACTCCGCGCTGCACATCGCCTGTCGACACAATCACCCAGATATAGCCTTTGCTCTTCTCGAACATGGTAAATATTTTGTATAACCAAGGTTAATTACTGCAATGTTGGTAAAGATGTATGGATGTACTAGCAGTTTCCCATCACTTTGTCCGCGTAATATAAAAAAAATCAACCGTATCCCAAGTGTTACTCTCAGCTTTGTTTTATATGTGTGCTAAATATATTGAACCCTTGAAGAATTATCAAATAAATATGAAAAAAAATTCAATATGTCCCACAATAAACGTAACTATTTCCGGGTTGAAAAATAGAGTAAGTGTTCTTCGAGATTATCTTCACTACATCTATGCCAAATTTCATTGAACGCTGTTCAGCAGTTATGGCTGCAAACATCCGTCTATCTAAACTTTCGTATTCATAATATTAATAAAATTAGTACGATTGTTGTGAATTAAGACATTTATTTGTTGTATTTTGTACAGACGCAGAGCCGAGTGTGAAGTCAAAGGCGGGCTTCACACCGTTGCACATGGCGGCGCAGGAGGGCCACGAGGACTGCGTGGAGATGCTCATTGAACGCGGAGCCGATGTAAACGTACCAGCTAATAATGGTATATTTCTTAAATATTAACTGCTCAGAACATCCTCAAGTTGCGCACAGCTTGGAGTCAACTAAAAGATTGTAACAGTCTATATAGCAATAACATTGTGAAGAAATATTATCATTTCGAATACAGCAGAGGCGTTCTACGACAGATGATAGATTTAACTTATTTAAAGCTTTATCAAAAGCTAGGTTCAAGCTATTTTCCTGTTAATTGAAATAATAAAATTTCTCTTTTCTCTATTGAGGGAAGGCATTTGCTTTTTCATATCTCAGCCGTCATATCTGTATTCATGTCCTTATTACGCATGTCCATTATCACACAATTTATCCATACTTTTGGCTCACCTCTCTAATTCTCGTTGATGTATTTAAGTGTAAGATAATAATAATGTTTTAGGTTTAACGGCGGTACACCTAGCGGCATCAGAAGGTCGTACGGCGGTACTAAAGGCGCTGCTTGCGGCGGGCGGGCGCTGCGGCGTGCGTACTCGGGATGGCTATACGCCGCTGCACGCTGCTGCGCACCACGCCCATCTGGCGGCTGCGCGTACGCTACTCGACGCCGGTGCTGACGTCACAGCACGCGCAGCACACGGGTAATGTTTACCGACACCGTGCTGTTTTACCGACATAAAGTAACCGCGTTATTTCAGTGCAGTAACTAACAATACATATGTTTACATCTAGTTGTAAATATTATTGTCGTTTATATTGTTTTATTTTATTTTATTTTAAATTCTTATTAATTGTAACTTATAAATATAATTATAAAAACAGTGTAAAAGGAAAATAAAGTTGTCTTTATCTTTATAGTAGCTGCAACTATTTTACCGACTTTGCCTCATGCTGTTTTACCGACTCTTCTTCATGCTGTTTTACCGACTTCGCTTAATGCTGTTTAACCGACAAATATAGGACGTCGGTACAGTAGTAGTAATTGCTTAAGCGGTAAATAAACTAGCATAAAAAATAAGCATAATTTGAATTGCTATTAAGATGTTACTTAAATAAAAAGACGTTAAAATACGTCTTACCTTGCCGAAAGAATGATGAATTTAAACATTCGTTTGTTTATATTTATGCAAACACTTAGAAGCTAGTGCTCAAATACATGTGCAAATACATATAATTTGAATACTTTATCTTGTAACAGATTCACGCCATTGCACCAAGCGGCACAGCAGGGACACACGCTGATAATACAACTGTTGCTCAAGAATAATGCTGACCCCAACGCGTTATCTGCTGTAAGGAACATTGTTTTATTTTTTTCTTTATTTTACTGATCAACTAAAACGTAATTTCTGATGTAACATTACTTAACAAAAATATTGTAAGCGCTAATAGACTACTAACCAGTAATCACTGGTCCAGGGTTCGAACCCCATCATTCGACTATTATTGTAAATATCCTAGCACAAGCCCAAGCTCTAGACTCAAGTTAGCATGGTATAAGAATTCTTAATGAATTTACAAAAATCTACTAATATTTTTATATAAAAAATTGAGATATATAATATCTAGAAAAAAGTCACGGAATGTCACCGAATCGGGATTATTCTCAACCGTCACCCCGCTCTGTCCCCACGTATGGACTGATGGGAATAAACAGTTTCATACCTTTGGCGACGAGTCGACGGTTAGAATTTATTTTATTTCATAACGGTTCTATTTGTCACCTTATTGGTGATAGTGGGATTAAAAGGGGGGACGGATTTATCTTTAAATTCTCAGGTCGGAACAGAGCGGGGTGACGGTTGTGAATAATCCCTGATTCGTATACAAAGTCGTTATAAGTTACTTAAAAAGTCTTTCAGTGTGAATTATTAAATATGTACACTTAGGGACAACTTAAGTAATAACTGTGTGTTGCGCAGAGTGGGCAGACGGCGTGCGCGCTGGCGGACCGGCTGGGCTACATCAGCGCGGTGGAGGCGCTTCGCCCCCTCACCGAGAACACGCTCAGCCAGGCCGTCGGAGACAATGGTCAGTCATACATATTTCACACTAATAATATAAATGCGAAAGTTGTATGGATGTTTGTTAGAATTTGTAGCCTAAACTGCTGAACGAATTTCAATGAAATTTAGCATACATGTAGAGGATAGTCTGGAATAACACATAAGCGACTCACTTTGTTTTTTTTTATTTCACGCGGACGGAGTCGCAAGCGAAAGCTAGTTGTTACACATTTCTTAACACTTAAATACCGGAAGTTTGACACCGCAATGTAACAATTTGTATCCCTTTTTTCATTACAAATATTAAGGGCCAGTCCAACCACTGGCTGGTAGAGACTCAGATAGCTTAAAAATGACATCACTCTCAGATAAGGTAACAAAGATCCAATATTTCCATCAAATATTTTTACACGAATTGTTCTCAGACAATTTACAATTTGGTGTACCGAACCTTAGTATGTTATTTCGATTAAAACGCAAAGAACAAAATGCAATGTGTCCGTCTCGACGCGAAACTTTGATCTAAATCCGCATCAAGACTGTATTAATATAATCTACGAACGTAAATTGAAAACTGGCCGCGAGCCAGCGCAGAGCCGAGTAATGTAACGAGTAAATATTAAAGTATAACTGAATCCATTCAGTGTGAGGTGACCTTTACGTAGATTTATGACCAAGTAAATCGATAGTGCAAATTATTGGAAAACTACAAATAAAGAATGTTGCATTAAATGAAAATTTATAACAAAATGTCCAATAGTTCTATACATGTAAGTTTGATCACAGTCTTCCATTTTCTATGATCGTTAATTTGCGATATCTTAAAAGATTTTTGGTAGATTTTAATTTTCTCTTCGACTTTAATAGGAGCAATTATATCTTTCAATTAGCTGTTCCCGTGCGACTTAATCCGCATAAAATTTTATTTTGCTGTTTACATGTGTCAAATCATCAATTGTCAAAATGACAAACCATGGCAACCTTGCTTCCTTGATGTTGGCAGCAACTTATGGTCTCTTTCCCAAATTAGGGTTTTATCCAAAATGTTTACCCCCTAAATTTAATAGCGTGAAATATATAGCCTAAAGCGTGACGTAAGTGTAGGGATTTTTATTATAAAAAGAATTATTCAAAAATACACTGTAATTGCTGACACCTTAGGCAACAAAGAAGTGTGTGAATAGATAGATAGATTACATTTTGTTTCAAGGATAATTGTAAAATTCCTATAACCTCAGGAACATAGGCCTAATAGAATTTTAACAAAGTGTTAACATTTATTTAGCGAACATTAATTCTCCTAACAAAATTGCACGAAACGAAACTGCAAAAGTATTCGATTTCTATTTACATTACAAATTAGTTAAACTCGTTTACCACTAAGTACTTGAATTTGTCGCCTTGGCACGCTTGTTTTTATATCAGAAAAATAATCACATCCAAAATAAATATTTAAAGTAAATTAAACTAAAATAATTCACGTGTAAAATCTTTAAGGTCATAAAATGTCAATCGAAATCTCTTAGGTCCTTAATAGCGCGTACACCATTGACTAAACTATGTCACAACTGTTTAGTCGCGCTTTTATATAAATTACATCATTACTTCCCTAGTCAGGGCGCATCTTTACATTTAGGAATAAGTAAAGACTACAATAATAAACTGTCAACAATCGAATTTCACAGTAAATGTCTTGTAGAACTGGTTTTCTGTAAACTCGTTGCGTTTCTTTAGTTGAAGCATCTATTCATGCGACTACGAAATTCATAATAACCGGCAATTAAATTTCCTGTTCTCTGAGAGCAACACAACTAGGACTTCTAAGGAGTTTAGTGTAGTCATATTTTAGTAAATTTAAACTACTGGAATATCGATAATAAGTTTTTTTTTAAATCTTCTATGGGTAAATACCCAGCACTTAATATCATAAATGCGAAAGTTTAGATGGATGGTTTGTTAGAGATTCTAGCCTAAACGCCTGAACAGATTTGGATGAAATTTGGTATATGTAGAGCATTGTTTCTCAAAGTGGGCGATAACGCCCGCGTTTGTGACTTAGAGGGGGGCGTTATCGAACCCCAGAAAAAATGGGGGGAGTTGATGTGGATTAGGGGGGCGATTTATAATTTCATTTATTTTATATAGTATTTTAAATTGCACTAAATTTGTCTAGAAATGGGGGGCGCAGAAAAATCATTGATTTTCACAGGGGGCGGTAAAAGAAATAAGTTTGATATACTCTGATGTCGAGGGTAGTCTGGAAGAACACATAGGCTACTCACTTTTTTTTTTAATTCCACGCGGATGGAGTCGCGGGCGAAAGCTAGTATACACTTAAAACTAAACTTCTGAATCCGGCAGTTATCCATTGACCAAGTGCAGTCGCGTACACAAATCATTATGACATAATCAAGGACATTCTCGTTACATTAATTCAGTCCGTAATGCAGACGCATTGTACGCAAATCAATCAACATTAGAGCCACTGACCCGGACTGTACGAGACAATACATTTGTATTTGTTCATGTAAATGATAATATTGATGCGATAATGGAAATACAAATTGTTTTAAATTCATCCTATTGGTTAGGGTGACCATATTTTTTGGTTATTAGTAAAATTGTACATATTTGACAAGCTACTTAACTTCTAGTTTTTGTCTTTTCTTAATGTCTTTGTGTCTTTTTATCAAGTAATTCAATACAAACAACTCTTGTTTTAATATGATAACTTTTAAAAGTAATGTTTTCGGCACAGTTGTATGCCTATTTAGTATTGAAGAATATATTGAGTTTATCTAGAGCACTGTCCTATAATAACAATGAAAATATGGTAAACGTAACTGCGTGTAGTTATTAGTGCGACGTTTATATGCGCCTCGGATCAGATCCCTATTATCTAATCTATGCACAATTTGCCACAAGTTACTGGGCTGTGCTCGAGTGTGCATTTGTGCATTGTTTTTTTTTTTTACTTTTATGATCTGTGTTGCCGATAGTTTTATAACGTATTTATGACGGTAAGTGTACGATTTGTAATTCAATTTTCCGCCCACATACAGTTTCGCAATGAAACTGCTTAGCAACATTGTCAATGATATTGCGTAAATTGAACAAATTATTAGTTTGTGTTATCATTTGATGCAGAAATGGCGTATTAAAATAAATACGAGATATCAGAATTTTGCCTCATCTTAAATTTATTTTTCTATCCTAGTTCCTAGTTTCATTAAGGAACTAGCTGTTGCTCAAGACTTTGTCCGTTTGCGATTAAAAAATATTAAAAAAAAACATAGTCTACGTAACTCATTAATAACGTAGCTTTTTAATAGTGTAAGAATTTTTGAAATCGACCCACTAGTTTTTGAGTTATTTCAATACATACAAAGATACAAATCTTTCCTCTTTATAATATTTGTATGGATTTTTTTATGTTTATCTTAAAATTAGTTTTTATGTAGCAATATACAAACATGTGGTATTGAGCTATAAGTTTTTTTCATATAGTTTGTAATTTGTACTCGATGACATAGGCCTCGACTGCTGGCGTTCTGCCATTTTGTGAAGAGTTTTTAAAATTACTATGGTTCCTTTTTAATTATTTTTAATGAAGAAACTTGTGCTTTCGTTAATTGTAAATATAAGAAATATTAAAATCAATTTATAATATTTAATAGAAATATTATGTTAGAAATTGTAGACAGACTTTTACATCGAAAAAGTCAACAAAAACACTTAAAGAAAAGTTGCAAAGTATCATCTTTCTTGACCCCACCTTTGTTTAAATGATGCAATTAGTACTGTTTATACAAGCCTTGACATTTATTTTCTCATCAAAATGCCATTATTCCGACTACTACCCTACATTTAAATATCCAAACAATTCTTATTACTGATATTTCTTTACTTTTTTATATTATTACTGTAAGTTTCCATTGCCACAACATATGTATGAAAACGTTTTTATCTGTTTTTTTTTCAAAAAGAAGGAAAAATATGTAATCCTTTCTGTTGCTCGCGACTTCGCCCGCGTAAAATTGAAAAATAATAAAAAATATACTTTTTGAGTTATTTCAATACATACGAAAATACGAATCTTTCTGCTTTATTACATATATTAGTATATATTTCCCTACAAGTATATAAGCAGTGAAAATCCACGATAACATAAAAATAATTTCACATTTACTGCTTCTCGGGCTGTTACATTCAGTTTTGTCATACCAAAATCTACGCTAAGTGTCTCATTTTAACGAATATGTGTGGCAACAAGCCGTAATACAAGACGACAAAGATGGATATATTCATATCCTTCTCTATCATGGGATTAGGTATACTTTCTCACGATGCGTCTCGACTGACATCCCATTATCCGGTTACAGCAATCTGTCCTATTTAGCTCAGTACAAACTCGCTCGGTTAACTTACCTTAATAGTTAACTAACCTTTAACGGTAGCTTGATGTGTTAAAACTGTTACGTTTCGGTTTATACGTGGACTTAGAGTAATTTATAGTTTTTAGTTGGTATTTATGTCATCAATTTTATCCAAGAAACACCATTGGCACACTATTATAATTCCAATTAATTTAATATCACTACTAGTATTATAAATGCGAAAGTTTTGATGGCTGGATGGATGTTTGTTAGAGTTTATAGCCTAAACGGCTGAAAGGATCTCGATGAAATTTGACTTTGATAATCTAGAAGAATACATAGGGTACTTTTTTTTTAATTCAAAGTTGACGGAACGTTAGTAAAATACAAAAATAAATTACGGACCACCGTTGATTGGTTCACATAAAAATTTTACAACGTGACATTGAATTCAGAAAACACACCTAAAGTGTCTGTTACGATTATTTCACGGAACGCACTCAATCGAATGCAAAAGGTTCCATGAATTAACATTTCAAAACAATGGCTCACGAGGAACATTTCTTGGCCGTGCGTATTAATAACTTCGCAAGGTATCGTATACGATGACGTCATCCAAACTGAATTTAGCGGATAGCTCCGAACCCGT